TGTGTGTGTGTGTGTGTGTGTGTGTGTGAGTGTGTGTGTGCACGTGCACGTTTATGCGTGCATTTGTCTGTGTGCGCGTGTGCTTATGCGAATGTGTATGTGAATGTGTATACGTGCGCGTATACGTGTGCATGTGTATGCGCGCGTGCGTGTATCCGTGTGTGTATTATTGCGTGTATATGTATCTATGCTTCATTATAAAAGCGAGAAAGAGAGAAACAGAATGAGAAAGATAGATAATGAGAAAAGGCGAGAGGGGAAAGATGGAGGAGAGAGCGAGAGGTAATGAAAGAAAGAGAGAGAGAGAAAGAGTGAGAGAATGAGTGTATGTTACGGGTACAGACTTTTCAACTATGCACGAGTTATGATTCAAGTAACGATTTTACGATTCGCGATTTTACGACCTTTTATAACAGAGCGAGAGCTACGCCTATAAGCTCCAAGCTGCCTGAATGCAGAACGATTAACATAATATCATATCACGCTCATCAGGAACGAGTCCAGCAATTTGCTGCTGATTATGCGACCAGCCCAAGTTAATCGCGTGGAGTGAAATGGAGAGAAATGGAGCGATAATTTTTTTTAGATAGCTACAGGAAGGAAATGTATTCGTTATCAGCGATTATAGCTCTGTAGGTACACTGCTCGTGTTATATTAATGACGCAAGAGGTTTTAGAGCTGATAAAAGATAGCATGATAGAAGAGAAAAATCGTTTAGGTAAGAGGGGTCTTGAGAACTAAGAAAGCTTGATCGACTTTTATTGAAAGTGACATAGAGATGGACCGGACAGACTTCAGGGAAGGAAGCAAGGAAGTATTAATACGAGAATAAAGAGCCATATAGATCTGAACAGATCTAGTTATGATAAAGGTAAGTGGAACGATGTGACGACACGCATCAAGATGAAACACGAAAGAACGAGAGAGAAATTGAGAGAGAGCGTGCCAGAGAGAGAGAGAGAGAGAGAGAGATAAGGAAACTTGAAGGAGAATGAGAGTGGAAGTGAGGTAAGCAGAGCGAGAGAGAAAGCGCACGCGATACTGCTAAAGATAGGGAGAGAGGGGAAAGAGAGGTAGAACGAGAGTTGAATGATTGAGAGCCCGACAGAGAGCTGGGCCGTAGCCTGGGGAGGGAGCAAGGGGGCAGCTGCTCCCTATATTTTAGAGCAAAATTGCAAAATAAGCTTAGCGTAATTAATAATCGTAAATAACCCTAACGTGATTTTTTGGTCACTTATCCGTGAAAGCCTTGTCTTAGACCCAGCCCTACCACACTATGGACGTCGATCAAGAGCTGCAGCCGTCGCTCATAATTACACAATTGAGTCATGAAATTTTGCCCTCCCCCCACCTAGAAATTTGCTCAGCCTACGGCCCTGGAGAAAGAAAGAGAGAGAAAGAGAAGGGAGGAGCATAAGATGGGGCGAGGGGGAAAAGATTAAGAGTGAGAGAAGAAGAGAAAAGGTACGAGTGAGAGAAAGAGAAAAAACGCGCGAGCAAAAGCGAAGAAGAGCGAGAGAGACAAATGGGGAGAGAAAGATGGAGAGAGAGAGAGAGAGAGAGAGAGAGAGAGAGAGAGAGAGAGAGAGATAGATAGATAGATAGAAAGAGAGAAAGTGAGAGAGAAAAAGAGAGAGCGAGAGAGAGAGCGAGAGAGAGCGAGAGCATACACTGCGAGAGTGCACTGTGTGAGACCAGAATGCATACATTCGAATGCGTTTCTGCTTCGACATCGGCGCAAGTAACGTGTTTATGCCGCATGCGCGTCTCTGGAGAGGCATTTGCAGAAAATGCTCCAATTTCAGCTTCCCGCGCGCAGTTATCTACTGCCCACACGTTTCCGCGGCCGGCCGTAAATCAACGGCAAGCAAATACGAAAACGCCGCATTTCTCCGGATTAAGCAACAATTTGTTGCGACGGAGAGAATTGATAATTCACCTCGCATCGTCGCGCAACGTCATTTTCCCGCGCGCGCGAAAAAGGCGGCACGCGTAATCTCTCCCGCCTGTCTCCACGTGTACCGGACACCAACCCCGGTGCGCGATTAATACGTTACGACAACAATCAATTAACGACAGAAACTCATTTATGTGCGGTCACTTGAATTTCACTTGACTTCCCGTGCTGTCCCCATGACTAACCGCCTGCTCGCTAGCGCGCGTGTAGCCTGAAGGAACAATTTCACGCTGTGCTATTAGATGGTAGGGCCTCAAAGGGCCTAATAATGTGGCGTGCATGGGGGAAATTAGTCAGCACTCGATGCCGACTGCTCATTACGGGCCAGCTGAGCTGAACAGCTCTCGCACTTATCGCCTCCTAATACCACCTCCACGCACGCACGCACGCACGCACGCACGCACGCACGCACGCACGCACGCACGCACGCACGCACGCACACACACACACACACACACACACACACACACACACACACACACACACACACACACACACCGCGACATGCACACGAACACACGCCGACCACACCCGAGAGTACCCCGTCAAAGCGAGTCCCTGGCAGGCGTCGGCGACCCGGATCGCATTGCGGGTTGTCGAGCATGCAATGAATAATGTAGCGAAGACAAAGCCGTGTTAGCGAGCCGCTATGCGGCTGCTTGCGCGCCGAATCGCGACGTATGGCTACATGGCGAAGATATTCGCCGCCAACAGAAAATGCGAAAATAATAACATGGAAATAAGACAGCACAAATTAGGGCAATTTCGAATGTTTTATCATACGCTCATAGAGTATGGCGCTTGCCCGCCAGGTCTGCGGC